CCCCGAACCCAGCTTAGTGAGCCTTGGCCCCAGCCAGCCTGCTCCTGGCCTGGCGGTGCCCACGGCTCCTCTCGGAGCACCAGGCCTGCCAGGCGGCTCGGTGTCCCCAGCGACCCTCGGGGTCTGGGCGGTTCTTGACCTCCCACGCCATGTCTGGTGGCCCCAGGAGGCAGAAGCCCTGCACACAGGGATGGGTGCTCTGCAGCACCATCTCAGTCCCATTCCCAAGCAGCCCCTGCGCGGAGGCGCCGCGTTCTCCCGCGCTCTCCCGGGCTCTCTCTGGGGGCCCAGGAGCTGTGTGGAGGGCAGGGACAGAGGGCAGAGTTCAAATGTTAGAACAGCCTGATGCCCAGACTCTGGCCCAGCAGGGGAAGGGGCACCAGCCCACCCAGTAGCAGGTCAGGGCCTCCAGTCCTGGAGGGGCGTCAGGCCCCCTGCAGACTTGGCCGGCTCCACTGCCAGGCAGCAGGGTCAGGGGGTGCAGCGGGGAGGTCTGGGTGGTCCCCTGTCCCTGCCCATCCAATTAACTGCCAGACACCCTGGGGGGAGCGCCCCGTTGGCCAGGAACAGCAGGGCAGGACCCACTGTCCCTCTCCAGTTCTCCCCCAATGCAGACCCCACAGGGCTCAGAAAGGAGCCTGCACACCCAGGAGGAAGATTCTAGAATAGGCTTTATTTTCTCTTTAAAAAAACAGGCCTGCCTCCAGTAGCTGGGGCTGCAGAGGCGCCTCCCACCCGGTTTGGAGCAGCCATGAATGGCCCGCCAGTCTGCTGAGCTTGAAAGCCTCCAGAGCACAGGAGGAAAAGGCCTCGGAGCCCCTTTGTTGGAAGGAGACTCCCTCACCCCGCTGGGCCTTTCTCTGACTCAGCTGGCTCTTCCTGCAGCCACAGACAGCCAGCCTCAAGGGGCTCAGGAAGCCCGCCCCCGGGCCGCACCCCCCTCCAGGCCCAGCCTGCAGCTCAGCTCCTGGGGTGACAGGCCCACCCAGGCTGGAGAATGCCAGCTCCTTCCCCTGGGCTGGGTTCAGGAGAGGAGGGGACCTGGGGTCCTCTGTGCTAGACCCCGCCCTAGCCTGGTGGGACCACCCCACCTCCACCCCGCATCCGCCAGGCCTGAGCTGCGAGGTCAGCCTGCACAGACAGGCTGGAGGTCTGAGCAGCCCTGGGCCATGCTCTGGGGCCAACTTGCCACAGCCAGCTGGGCTCAGGTGTGGCCACGTGACAGTGGGCACAGCGGCTCAAGGTAAAGGGGACTCACCCCTCCTCTCCAGGAATCTGGCGTCATGCAGCAAAGAGGACAGCCAGTGTGCAGCCCGGTGTGCGCCTGGCCTCAGCTCACCTCTCTCCCACGACCTCAGCATCGCTGGTCTATAAAACGGAGCGTGTGGAGGGCCAGGCGGCATGCAGGCTAAGGCACGGGGTCCCACGTGGCCGACTGAGGTTTTAGTCTGGGACCTGGTAGCTTAAAAACACACTGGGCACATGTCCGTGTGCGCCCAGAATCCCGAGAGGAAAAGGGACTGCGGTGTGGCGCCCCCCGCCCCCCGCCCCCACACACACCCTGTGGCATTCTTTCTAGAATAAAAGAAAATAAGAATAGTGCAGACACAGTGTGTGCTGGGTTGTGGTTCCCACATTGATGTTTCCCGCCCCACACGCTATTCCAGAACCTTCCAGTCTTATTTCTCCCTTGAGCCCGGGCAGCAGGAAGGCTGAGCCTGTGTGATAGGGGTGGGGGGTAGCGATGGGGGCTGGGTCACCCAGGCAGCATGGCCTCTGCCCACGCCTTCTCCTGGGACCCAGGGCTGCCGCGGCCTCCTCCCGCTGGGTGGCCAGCTGCCCACAGACTCTGGTGGGAACCCAGAGCAAGGCCGACCCCAGCCCACGGCCAGGGCACGCGCCATCTTGAAAGCAGGGAGTGCAGTGGGCACCTGTGGGCAGGGCAGGCTTCCACCAGGTCGTCCCCACATCGCCAGGAAGCAGAAGCCTGGAACGTTCACCATCTCCCGGGGCTGAGGGGGTGGTTCGTCACACAGGAGGTGACGAGGAAACGTTCTAGGCACGACAGGAGCCAACCCAACAAGGCCTCCGCTCCCTTCAGGCCGCTAAAGCGCAGGACAAGGCTTAGTCCCGTGGCCCTCTGCAGCAGCGCTAGAAAAGCAACAAGCGTCCCCATTCGCACGAGGGCACACGGAACAGAGTGTCAGGGACCTCACGTGAGGTCACACAGCACGAAGAGGTGGGCCTGGGATGCGAAGCAGGAGGTGGCTCTAGACTCCTCACCCTTAACTTGGAGGCCTGACTGCCCCTCCCCTGGGCTGTGACGGCCATGTCACAGACAAGCCAGGAGGCCCGGTCCAGGGAGACCCGTGCTCACCAGTAAACAGCGTGACTGAGCACAACCCGCCAGGCCATTTTCCTGCCCCTGCGAAACCCTTCACGTGAACACCCTGCAAAAACCGACTTCAATGATCCTTGACCGCATCAGAGCGCTCAACTTTTGGCCTGAAAACCATGGTCGTAATCATGTGAGAACTTGGAGGGACAATGGGACCCCAGGGCTCAGAGCCACAGGGACCGGGAATCCCGTGTGGTGCCAGGCCCGAGCCCTGCCACCATGCGAGCGGCCTCAGCCTGAGCCACGGCTTCCACGTGGGTGGCACAGCTCACGGCTGTGGCCTGCTGGGGGCTCCGCGCTAGCCCC